CGGGATTCCTGCGGCCTGGTTGATGCCGCTAGGAGCTGTGGGGAGCGAGGCGTGTGTTGGGCCTGCTGGGCTGCCTCCGTGCTGCCGGGGGGAGCGGCCGTAGGCGCAGGTGGCACTGAGGTACCGAAGTGCTGTGTCTCTGCGTTCTGGGTGGAGTGATGTGGGTTGTGTTATAGATAAAATGATGGACCAGAAGTTTAAGGAGTCAATTGTTGAATTTATTAATTATAATGAGTAAAGAACAAAAAGGCAATGCAGCGCTGGGCGACAGGGGACTCTGCGTTCAGCCAACTGTCACCCAGCGCTGCATTGCCTTTTTGTTCAAATTGTCTGAAGTAGATAAAAAGACTGAGAAACAGAAGCCTCGGAAAGAGGAGGATATCCCCATGGGACCTCCACCATATGTCCCACCACAGCCGATAGCTCCTCCTCCTCCACAACCCGAGGTAGATAATCAGGATAACCCAGATAATCAGGGAATGGACCCTAATTTGGGCCCTCAAACCAGGAGACGGACACGTCAACAAAATCTATATCCACTGCGAGAGGTACCTATGGGGGGGTCCCAATCCACAGATGGGGTTTATTTCGGTACCTTTAAGTTCAGGGGATGTTAGGGAATTTAAGAAAGAGATGGGTAAGCTTTTGGAAGACCCATTAGGAGTTGCGGAAAGGGTAGACCAATTTCTAGGGCCCAATATATATACGTGGGATGAGTTACAGTCCATTCTAGGCATCTTATTTACAACTGAAGAGAAACATATGATTAGGACTGCAGGAATGAGAGTCTGGGATGCCCAGCATGCCCAGGGACCCCAGGCAGATGTAAAATGGCCCCTACAAAGGCCCCAATGGGACCACCAAGACCCAAATCACCAGATACATATGCAGGATTTACGAAGTATAGTTATCCAAGGGATCAGAGAAGCAGTCCCTAGAGGCCAGAATATCAATAAAGCATTTAACGAAAGGCAGAAGAAAAGAGGAATCCCCTAATGACTGGCTGGAGCGGTTACAAAAGAATCTACAAGTGTATTCAGGGTTGGATACTGAAACCCCGTTAGGACAGGCTTTGTTAAAAACACAATTTGTAGCCAAGGCCTGGGACGATATACGAAAGAAGCTCGAAAAGATTGAGAATTGGCAGGACAGGGGAATGGATGAGTTATTAAGGGAAGCTCAGAAGGTTTATGTTTGCAGGGACGATGAGAACCAGAAGAGGCAAGTTAGGATGATGGTGGCCGCGGTTAGAGAGAGTCGAGAACTAGACAAGCAGGAAAGGCGGCCATTACAGAAACCACCCTTCAGTCAGGGGAGGAGCGAAGGAGCAAGGGAAAGAAAGGAAGAACGGACTTGCTTCTACTGCGGGAAGAAAGGTCACCTAAAGAAAAATAGTAGAAGTAGGATACAAGATGAAAAGGTGTTTAAAGAAGACTAGGGAGGTCAGGGGCTTTACCTTTTGGGGACTCAGAAACACCGTGAGCCCTTGATAAAATTAAAGATAGGTCCCCAACAAGAAGAAATAGAATTTTTGGTGGACTCGGGGGCTGAGAGATCCACCATACAACAACTACCCTCTGGATGTGAATTGTCCAGAGAAACAGCCCTAGTAGTAGGAGCTAAGGGAGAACCCTTTATGGTAGGGGTCGTTAAAAATGTAAAAATAGAAACAGAATCTAAGCTAGGATTGGGAGATTTCTTAATTGTACCAGAAGCTGAATTCAATTTGTTGGGACGAGATTTAATTATAGAACTGGGAATAAGCTTGGAAGTAAAGAACAGGGAAATAAGGATTAAACTTTGCCCTTTAAGGGTGGAAGATGAAGAAAGGATTAACCCTGAAGTATGATATACAATCGAAAGTGTGGGGCGTCTGGAAATACCTCCTTTCTCAGTTAAACTTAAAGACCCTGAAATTCCTATAAAAATAAAACAGTACCCCATTTCATTGGAGGGAAGGAGAGGCCTAAAGCCAGAAATAGAGAGACTTATAAAGCAGGGGTTACTGGAACCCTGCATGTCCCCATTCAATACTCCCATATTGCTGGTAAAAAAAACCTAATGGTACCTATCGTTTGGTACATGATTTACGGGAAATAAATAAGAGGACAATATCTCGCTTTCCTGTAGTTGCTAATCCTTACACCTTGTTGAGCAAATTAGGCCCTGAAAACTTATGGTATAGTGTAATTGATTTAAAAGATGCATTTTGGGCTTGCCCTCTAGATGAGTCTTGCCGAGATTATTTCGCCTTTGAATGGGAAGACCCGGACACAGGGAGAAAACAACAGCTGAGGTGGACAGTACTACCACAGGGCTTTACCGAATCCCCAAATCTGTTTGGGCAGGCCCTAGAACAGATTTTGCAAGAATATCAACCAGCTCCAGAAATCACCCTTATCCAGTATGTTGATGATCTGTTAATCGCGGGAAAAGAGGAGGAACAGGTTAGGGAAGAAAGCGTTAAACTCCTTAATTTTCTAGGGTTAAAAGGCCTCAAAGTCTCAAAGACAAAATTACAGTTTGTGGAAGAAGTCAGGTATTTAGGTCACTATATTACTAAGGGGGAAAAGAAGATAGATCCAGAAAGAATAAGAGGGATATTGTCTCTGCCACCCCCCCAGAGTAAAAGACAAATAAGGCAAATTTTAGGGCTAGTGGGATATCGTAGGCAATGGATTGAGAATTATAGTAAGAAAGTAAAATTTTTATATCAAAAATTAACCCCCGAGGGATGGATAACTTGGGGTGAAGATGACGAGAGGAAGTGGCAGGCATTACAAGAAGATCTAGTCAATGCCCCAGTTTTAAGCCTCCCTGATCTTAAGAGACCTTTCTATTTGTTTGTCAATATAGACGAAGGTACAGCATATGGAGTCCTGACTCAGGAGTGGGCTGGAAAGAAAAAGCCTATAGGGTACTTTTCAAAATTACTGGATCCAGTGAGTAGGGGATGGCCCACTTGTCTACAGGCAATAGTAGGATGCGCTTTACTAGTGGAAGAGGCTAGAAAAATTACCTTTAACAGCGACATAAGGGTGTTGTCTCCCCATAATATTCGGAGTGTTTTACAACAGAAAGCTGAAAAATGGATCTCAGATTCTCGTTTGCTGAAATATGAGGGTATTTTGCTACAAGCGCCAAATTTAACCCTAGAAACTACTAGTCTGCAAAATCCTGCACAATTTCTATATGGCAAACCCGAGGAATCGCAATTATTACATAATTGCCTTCAAACTATTGAGAACCAGACAAAGATTAGGCCAGACCTAGAAGAGGAAGAATTAGATGAAGGAGAAAGAATCTTTGTAGATGGGTCTTCTAGGGTGATTGACAGAAAAAGGAAATCAGGATATGCACTAATAGACGGGAAAACGTTAAGAGTACTAGAATCTGGACCATTGAGCCCCTCTTGGTCAGCGCAGGCCTGTGAACTATATGCAGTCCTACAGGCCTTAAGAAGACTGGAGGGAAAATCAGGAACAGTATACACTGATTCTAAATATAGTTATGGAGTAGTACATACTTTTGGAAATATCTGGGAAGAAAGGGGACTAATTAACTCCCAGGGAAAGGACTTAGTACACCAGGAACTAATAAGGGAAGTTTTGCAAGCTTTAAGAGGATCGCTTAAAATAGCTGTAGTACGTTTAAGGGGGCATCAAAAAGGAATTGACTATAAGACGCGGGGAAATAACATGGCAGACCAAGAGGCTAAACAAGCTGCGTTACGCGTATTAGTACTGACAAAAGATAAACCGCAACATACAGAATCGAGAATAGCACCTCTCGTGTTCACTCCTAAGGAAGAACAGAAACTTACTCAAATGGAAGTAACTAAGAGTGAGGAAGGGAAATGGTATCTGTCAGATGGAAGAGAAGTTCTACCAAAATCGATAGCCTTTAATATCTTAACTAACTTACATAAACAAACTCATTGGGGAAGCCAGGGTCTGGTAGACCACTTCGCCACCAAATATATGGCTATAGGTCTCCACAACTTAGCAAAGAAAATTACCCAAGGATGCCCCACATGCCTGAAGATCGATAGAGCTGTACAAAGACGGGTACCTGTGGGTGGAAGACCCCTAGCAGTAAGACCATTTTCCCGAGTCCAAATTGACTTTACAGAACTTCCCAAAGTAGGACGTTACAAATATGTTTTAGTTATTGTAGACCACCTCACTCATTTTATTGAGGCCTTCCCTACCTCTAGAGCGACTGCTCAAACTGTGGCGAAGATCCTTTTAGAGCAGATAATCCCTAGATATGGAGTCACTGAGGTTATTGACTCTGATTAAGGTCCCCATTTTACATCTAAAATTATAAAGAACTTGACGGAAGCCTTGGGAATAAAGTGGGAAGAACACACTCCTTGGCATCCCCAAAGCTCGGGACGTGTGGAACGGATGAATGGAGAGTTGAAAAAGCAATTGGCAAAACTGACACTAGAAACCAAACTCTCATGGATAAAATGTATCCCTTTAGCATTGTTAAATATTAGGGCACAACCTAGGGCCGATATGGGAATATCTCCTTTCTAAATGTTATGTGGAATGCCCTACGATGCAGGAGTTCCCATTGATCATCCAAATATCACAGATAAGACCATTAATATCTATATCAGTGAACTAATGAAATATAGACAGGAGTTGTGGGAGAGAGGTCAAATAACCCAAAGACCCCCTCTTGATATTAGATTACACCAGATTAAGCCAGGAGATTGGGTTCTTATAAGATCGTGGAAAGAAGCCACTCTACAACCCCGTTGGGAGGGACCGTATTTGGTACTCTTAACTACTAATATGGCGGTTCGAACCGCAGAAAAAGGATGGACGCACGCCAGCCGTATTAAAGGACCAGTAGACAACAATGAATGGGAAGTTACTAGTCCAGCGGGGGATTTGAAGATGAAGCTGTCCAGAAAATCGCGATAAACAAAACTTAAACTGAGGGGGAATTTATTTTGCCACAGGGACTTCTGTGAACAACCGAAGAAACCAATATAGTCCCTCTGGTGAAGAAACCTCAACCCACCTGAAGAAGCTAAATGGTTGGGGCATGGTTTGAACACCTGCCTTTTGCTGTACAGTGCTTAATAGGTTTTGTAATAGCATTAATCTTGTCACTAATTTTGTATTTCTTATGGAAAGTCGTTAAGTGTGGGAAAGGGGTTTGTGTTTATGTATAGAGGAGAACGAGAATCATTTCTTAGGAACTTGAAGGACGAACTGGTTAAATGCTTTAATAGAACATTAAGTGAGGTCAACCTACCAAGTCTGCCCTGAATACAACTGGTATACGGCTGTAAGGGTTGGCCGATTGTTGAAAAAGGCTCCAGAAACAAACTCTTGAGACACTCTGTGGACAAGTGCCCAGTTTACCCCCAGGGATTATAACAGACTGTGATGGGGAAAAGTTCACCTTCGAGTGGGTCTTCTGCTGCCGAGAAGATAAAAACCCCTATAGCTGGCTGCAACCCAGTTGACAGGCGAGGCAGAGAAGGGCCTCGGGTGGAGGGACGGTACTTGACCCCAAAGACAATCATTTTGGTCTGTGCATCTATTTTACTCCCGGGGGTACGGGCCAATAATCCACACGAGCCCATGATATGGGAATTATTCAACATGCAACAACCTGACCAACCCTTGAAAAGCTGTAGAAATCAAACCCACGTAAATTTTACTGTTTCTTTAAGGGAGTTAATTACGGGACACCGAAGAGATAGGGCAGATAACTGTATGGGATTTTATATTTGTCCCGCTTCAAATAGAGGGAAAAATTATTGTAATTTGCCAAATCATTACTACTGTGGTTATTGGGGATGTGAGACATGGGCATCTGAATGGTCCACAACTATTAGAGACCCAGATATACAGGTGGAATGGTTCCCTCCTGATTGCAAGCGACCCGCCATAGGAAGAGATGGGCACGTTTACGGACATTGTGAGGCTGGTGAATACTGTAAGGAAATTAATATAAAGGTTCAGAAGCCTACGAATCATAGTTGGTTGGTTGGAAGAATGTGGGGAATTAGATTTTGGGAACCAGGTCCAGATAGGGGTGGTATATTTAGAATAGCAAAAAGAAGTATGCCACATGATCCCCCATTATCTATAGGCCCAAATATAGTTTTGGCACCGCCCCCTTCTACCAAAAGAACCCCGCCATCTGTTGTTCCTGCACTGACAGTTACCACAAACAGTACAGGTCAAAGGTATAGGACACCACCACCTACACTCAGTGATCCCCTATGGGGCATTATGCAAGCTGCATATGCCGCCCTGAATAAAACACAACCAAACTTAACTAACGAGTGCTGGTTGTGCTATAGTGTTAGACCACCTTATTACGAGGCAGTAGGAGAGCCAAGCAAGGTCACATGGAATAATGGGACGAATCCTGCTGCATGCCCATGGAATAGTAATCACACCCAGGGGTTAACTATACAACATGTCACAGGGAAAGGAAAGTGTGTTGGGACCATACCAGAACAATATAAGAATCTTTGTAATAGCACAATATCTGGAGGTAGAATAGTGAACAAGACAAACGCAAAATTTAAATGGCTAATCCCCACAGCAGGTGCAAAGTGGGTGTGTTCAGATGTCGGAATGACACCATGTATATCATTAGAGGTATTTAATAGATCTGAATTTTGTGTACAAGTAGTAATTATCCCGCGATTAATGTATCGCTCTGATGAAGAGGTTATGTATCAACTTGAAGGGAGCCTCATCAGACAGAAAAGAGAGCCTATAACAGCAATTACTTTAGCAACCCTCTTGATTGCCGGAGGTGTGGGTGCCAGAACCGGCATAACCTCACTCGTCAAAAGTAACGAGATACAAAACTTACAACAAGCTGTAGATGAAGATCTAGACAGAATAGAACAATCAATCGATAAATTGGCAACTTCAGTCAAATCGTATTCAGAGGTGGTACTACAAAATCGAAGAGGATTAGACCTCCTATTCCTAAAGGAAGGGGGACTATGCGTAGCACTCCAAGAAGAATGTTGTTCATTTGTTGATCACACCGGGATAGTTAAGGACTCCATGGTTGAACTTCGTAAGAGATTGGAACAACGAAAAAGGGATAGGGAAATAGGAAGATCCTGGTATGAGGGTTAGTTTAACGTATCACCATGGCTCACTACTTTGCTGTCTGCTCTGGCTGGACCCTTGATCACGATCATTCTGGGATTAATATTTGGACCATGTATAATTAAATGTTTATTACAACTGGTAAAGAAGCGATTTGACACCACGAAATTGCTAATCTTAACGCAAATGACTCCGCAGAGGGAAATAGAGAAATTGTAAATAGAGAAAGCGTAATATTCCATCCCATGATCACAATTAGGAAAGGAGAATTATGATTATGAAGATTGGAGGACAAACATTCAACGATAAAAGAAAAAAGGGGGGAAATTGTCAAAGAGGCAGGAATGTTTGTCCAGAGTTAATAAGCTTAGCATGCAAAAACACAAATCTGCATTACTGGAAGCTTGTGCAAACAGGGAACTTGCCCAGATATGGTCAAAGGTTAGCGATTGTGTAATCGACCAATGAGACTCGCTCATACAAGCAACAGACCATAAATGGGAATCACCAGAAGGGGTCAAGAAACGAATATGGAGGAAGACTACTTACTTCAGCCCACACGACCACCAGGAGGCAGAAGAAGACCTCCTAGCGACAGTCGGATCATGCGCAGAGTACACCACAATGAGAATACGGAAGGACACGAATACGGAAGACGAACTGTATAAAAGGATCGGGTATTGGTTCGAACGTTGCGACAGTTGGCGGGACGCAGAGTCCCCTGTCGCCCAGCGCTGCATTGCCTTTTTGTTCTTTACTCATTATAATTAATAAATTCAACAATTGACTCCTTAAACTTCTGGTCCATCATTTTATCTATAACCGGTCGTACTCGCATCTTAGTTCTTTAGTGCTTCCTATCTGAAAAGTCCTATCAGGACAAATTGTGTAGCTTTCATAAGGATTCTTGTTATAGTGCCTGGAAGTAATTAAAGGTGTGGAGCATTTCCTGCATGAGGAAAGGCTGAGAGGCTTGAGATCTTCTTCCTGGAGGAGAGAAAGCTGAGAGGGCAATGCATCGCTGTTTATAGATATCTAAAGTGTTGAGTTGATGGGGGGGTAGGTTTTTTTCAGTGATGAGCAGTAGTAGGGTGTATAACCAAGATGTTATAATGTATAACCAAGATGTTATAATTTGTATAACCAAGATGTTATAATTGCAATATAATCAAGAGAGTAAAGCAAAGCAGACAATGATCACAAAAGAGAATAAATGGAAGAGCTTACCCTTGGGTTGAGCTCACCAGAAGATACCAAAAGAGGGGATCTCCAGAAGAGATCCTTCCCCTCTGGTAGCCAGCTCTTAAATAGGTCCAGGAGGGGTGGAGCCAGGCTCCACCCCTTCCGGCAGCACAGGTGAATTGCCTTCACCTGTGCTCCTCTGGCTGACTCAAGGCTCACCTCAGGTGATTAATCAGAGGTTCAGGCCGTGACTCAGCAGTTCCCATACATAGGATAAGAGGTAATGGGCAGCAACTGGAGCATAGGAGATTCTGTACTAATGCAAAGAAGAATTCCTGTATTATCAGAGTGGCAGGCGCTGGAACAGGCTGCTCAGAGAAGTTGTGGAGTCTCCACATCTGGAGATATCAAGACCTATCTGGAAGTCTACCTGTGTGATCTGCTGTAGGGAACCTACTTTCACAGAGAGTTGGGCTCAGTGATCTTTGAGGTCCCTTCCAACCCTGATAATTCTGTGAGTTTGTTAGAGCTTCTTTTTTGTAGTCTATGTGTTTGAATAAAACTATTTCCCCATGTTAAAATAAAGGGGATATATATGCTTCTGTCTGGCTCATGGGCTGGGAGTGACTGTTCTTCAGTGTACTTTAGTTCTGTAGGGTGAATCCTATAGCATGAGACAAATGTGTTTAATTGGGATGCAGCTGACTTCAAGTAGAGTGCTGACTGCAGTGGTGTCATGCATTATATACACATTAGGCTTTGTAAACTATGGTTTTGTATCACTTCTATGTACTCTGTTTTGCAGAATGACACAGTGACCATAAGAACTAGGAAGTTCATGACAAACAGACTGCTTCAGCGCAAGCAGATGGTAAGAAAAACACTCAATACTATCTTCAGTTGTTTATTGGTTCTTGACTGCATGTATTTTAGATCATTATAAGCAAGGGGCCTTAGAAGTGTTAACATTATCAGGTGTGTAGAGGTTTATACACATTCCTGCATGCTGAAGGTAAATCGTCGTGATGGGATAGCAAGCTGACCTGTGATTTGAAGCAGGAAACTGTTAGGATTAGATAAATGATGCTTTGTATGGCTAGGGTGGCCTAGTTCAGGTTTTGAGTTTAGGGTGGGAGTCCAGTTGTTTTATTGGGTATTGACTGTCTTTGGCTTTTATATGACTTTTAAAAAATTTTTTTAGGTGATTGATGTTCTTCATCCTGGGAAGGCCACAGTCCCCAAAACAGAAATCAGGGAAAAGCTGGCGAAAATGTACAAGACAACCCCTGATGTAATATTCGTATTTGGCTTCAGAACTCACTTTGGTGGTGGCAAGACAACAGGCTTTGGCATGATCTACGATTCCTTGGACTATGCAAAGAAAAATGAACCAAAACACAGACTTGCCAGAGTAAGTTATTTGTTCCACAGTAACTAGAAAACAATTTGGATGACTTTCAAGTGTTTAGTAGTTCATTTTCATGTGGAAAAAAAACAAGCAACATACCTGTAGTCTTGTGGGGGTATTGCTGTGCATAGGGAATTTAGTGTTATGTAAGAGGTCTTAACATAGTATGGATTAGCTTTTGCATTGGAAAAATAAATTGCTTCTGGTATAATTAGGTATAATAATAAGGTAGAATTGGGATGGCAAAACTGATATTACTTGTGATCTTCTGCAAAGAAGGATTCCTTATCCATTGCTAAAACTCTGTATCCATAAACAATGGGGCTGGTCCTTGCAAGATCTTAGTTTCCTTTATTTTATTATCTGTTAATGAAATTGTCTTGCTCTTTAGCTGTTATTTCATTGAAACAGTACTTGGAAAGTCTAGCAATACTAAAACAATTGTATTTCTTAGAATGAAAACTTTGGTTACTACCACTGAACAGATATTGAATACCACTGTTTTTTTATTAGCATGGTTTGTATGAGAAGAAGAAGACTTCTAGGAAGCAGCGGAAGGAACGTAAGAACAGAATGAAGAAAGTCAGGGGTACAGCTAAGGCAAATGTTGGTGCTGGCAAGAAGGTATGATGAGATTATCTGTAGGCTAGAGTTGGCATGTTATTATTGAAATGTTGATAAGAAGTTATTCAATAGAATAACCTTGTCTTTCTTCCATTTCTTTTACCTGTTCTACTGGATCACGGAAGGTAATCTGTGTGGTCATGTATAGCTTGTTAGCTCCATAGCTTAGTTCTGCTCCTCACTGCTGCAGCTGATAAAACATGAGGCAGTGCTTCTTAAATGATTGTTTCTTACATGTCACTTGAACTAAAGTTAAGCTTTCTTAAACCTAACAGTAATGCTCTAATCTCATAACTCAGTAATACTGTGTACAAATTACTCTACTTAATGCTAGTTACTCAGACTACCTAAATATCTAACATGTATTCTATTAAGTTAGTATTCTTTTAAGTTTTAAGGATTTGTTGTAGGTGGTGAAGGCTGTAAGTAGAAATAAGAAACAATAATTGCTTTATATTGGTTCTAAGGGGCTGATTAACAACTGGGTTTTCTTGCTGCTGGGAGCTTTCTATGCTGTGGGCTGCAAGTCAGTACAAATCTAGAAAGCATGCAGCTTGAGAAGAGACAGAGTTCCTTTATGATGAAGCAAAATCATCAAAACTGAGGAGAAAACAGTATGAAGATGGTCACTTTGCCTGGCAGCTTCTTGCACTTTAGATAACACTGAGTGGGCTTGTGCTGCTAAGTGGGTTTTGCAACTGCATTTGAATAAGAAGAGGTTGTTGGGTTTATTGCATAGATCTGTAACTGTTAAATTGCTTTAACATCTTGAACTTCAGTAATCTTCACTTCTGCTTTTTTTCCTACTTTCTTGGGATTCTCCATCAGAAATGAAGTATCTAGCAGGTACTGAAAATGAGCATGGATGTGACTGAACTATACATCACTGAAACACTTTTTTTTTAATCATGTCACATTGAAGCACTGTACTCCCTTGCATGCTTATATGCTAGCTTTGAACTTCTATCTTGTACAGGTTCAGATGACTATATAGTAAGTTTGTTCTGAGCTAGTGAAATGACATGGAAAATGTGGAGTTTCCAGTAAGAAGAAGGCAGGACAACTCATTGCTTTTGATACATTTGTTCAAAATACTGCAATTCTGGTTTGGAGTAGTGTAGTGTAATTGCATGTGTAACTTGACCTTAAGACAAAAATACCTGTGCATCTTTATGAAGTCTTAAGTCACAAAACAGCTTAGTGGAGGTGGGCCAGTAGTTGTAAACTGCTTCTGTTGTCAGCATTAGACTTCTAACTATTCTAAGCTGCTCTGGAATTTTGTTTTGTATAAATGAAGTTCTTGCAGTCGCTGGATAGATGAGGATGCTATTAGCTGTGATCTGGAATGTTTTTCATCTTTTCATTTCAATGCTGGTTGAATAGTGAAGTCATACGTTGTTTAAAGTAGGAAGGTACAAAATATCCTTTACTGCAGTTGTAACATTAGCATGCATCTATTGTGAATGCTGAGGGGAGTCAGTGCTGCACTGATACCTGGTATGGGAAATTCCCTTGAGAAGTTTTGGCACTTGAAGATAGCTGTAAACAGTCTTGTATTTTTACACTTGTTAACTGTTATTTGAGTTAAAATTTTCCAGTTCATTTAAAATCTCCTTAACTCTATGAGCATTTTTGAGATCAGGAGTAGGGATGTGTGCTGTGATAATTATGCAGCAAATGTGCCATATTTATCAAATGCTTGTCAGACTAGCATGCTTTCTTAGTAGTAAGGGGACAGCATTTTGGTGTAAGAGTTTTTTGATGTCCTTTAAAATTATCTTTGGGTATCATTTGGGTATGCGTAGTTAAGATCTTGTTCTTTGTTTGGCCATCTTTGTTGATCCTTGTCCATGTGTTAATAACTAAGGACAAATTAATTAACATGCCTTCTGGAAAATCTGTTTGGGGAAAATTGTTGTATCACAGAAAGGAATTGCAGAATACACTCCTGCCTTAAAGCTTTGTCTTGTAAAATGCATGCTTATACATAATTGTGCCGTAACATCCTTATTCACAGCTGTCTGCATTTTCATTAGGAATCATGAAATTTTAGTGTCCACCTATGTGGTCTGTGAGAATTGTTTAAATCAGAAGTTTTTAGGCACTTGATTAGACCTCTTCAGGAAAGTAACATTTTTTTAAGGATAAAACCCCATGACTTCTAACGCCAAGCCATTTTGACAGGTGTTGGCATGTGGATTTTTTAACAGAAATGTTTGTGTTTTTTTTTTTAAACATGATCAAACAGTAATGTGGATGGATGAGCACTTAAAACCAATGTAGCCTTCAGCTATAAGTGAATACATAATTGCATCCTGAGAGTTACTTAAGCTCTGTACAGTCTTTGTTAGATTCCATTTTAAGCTTGAGGGAATGCATGAAATCCAACTGTTTAGCTTTTATGGTAATAAAAATTCAGAGGTTTTCCTATCACTTGTTATTGTGGTAACTGGAAAAAGCAAATTGTGTTTTCAAGTCTGTGTCATTTACAGTAGTGGAACATTAATAAAACTATTCTCATCAAATGTTTTTCAGTAACTGGATGTACTTCAGGTGTGGAAAATGGATAACAGGTATGACTTCGGGGATACTTTCTAAAAGTAGACATTAGGTAGCCTGTAGCTATACCATGATGTAAGTTTAATGTTGGTGAAGTTTAATGAAGTTTAATGTGAAGACTGGTATTTGCATGTTGTTCTATATCAGTATGAGGGAGACTAAAATGTTTACAGATCACTATTCTGCTTACTACTAGTTGATTATTTGTTTCTTGAACTTGCATGAAATACCTGGCTAATAGATAATCTGAAGTTTTATAGCTTGGGCCAAGTTCTGATTTACTGTTCATTGAACTTGCAGTGAAACTAACTTAAAATATGATAAGGATAGGATAGCTTTGTATTTTCTGAGGCTGTTTGGATTTATGTAACTTCAGCTTTGGAAACAATTCTGTCTTAGTGATACTTAAGTAGATGCCTGATATTACTTCAGACAAGTGCTAGACTTTGTTTTTGTGTTTTTGCTGCAGGAACAAGTAAAATAGATATGCTGTGGGCAGTAACCACTGCAGATCTAAGTGTGGTTTTATTACAGATGCTATAAATGGCTCATTTTTAAAGTAACTGCCTGGGGGCTGATACAGTGAATATAATGTCTTGAGCAGGAGGTTGGCAAAGCAATTCCAGATTGAGCTCCTCTAGAGAAGTGCTGTTATCTAGGCTCATTCCCATGACTATATTGTGAAGCTTTGAACCTTATGTTTTTTCTAAGGAGGGTAATATTTGGAAAGAAGTTATTCAGACCCCATAAATGTGTGAGTATGATCTGTTGTAATCTTCTGGAGCTGACCTTTCTCTTTCTTTACAGGCTACATAATTCCATCAAGAAGTATGGGAAGAACTGCTCTGGAAAGAAGCTGCTCATCTGGCTTTAACATTAAATAAACTATGTCAGTCAAATCCTGGTTTGCCCTTTAGTTTTGATTTAATAATTACAATCTTGTAAAGCTTGGAAACTTTAATATTGGTGTGCTATTTGCACTATATTAAAGTCGTTTCGTAATTAAACATCTTTTTGTTTTGAGTATCAACCTGAAATATGAATCAAAGCTTTCTATGGTGAATAGTTTAAAAGTTTGAACAGGCAGTATCTGTTCAGTGGAGGTAGGCATACTTTTTTGTCTTGTGGTGCTCAGTCTGGTTTCAAGAGCCCTTTCAAAATATGCTCGTTTGATGGCCCATATATGTTCTACCTGTGGAGTGGACAGAAGACAATCATATCAGCAGAGACATTCAAAGCTGAATACTTTACAGTTGAGATTTTAACTAATATGAGAGTCCAGTACAACTAGCTCTTCATTCCTGGGTTTTCAGGGCAGACTGTGGGGTCTCTGCTCTGTGAACTGTGAAGTGCACCTTTAATTTCTCTGGTAGTGTTAAAGGAGTTGTTTAAGAACCCTCTAATCCAATCTTAGTTTAAGTGCATTTAAAAAAAAAAATTATACTGCATGTACTGAGGTAGAAGATTGTAATACATGCAAGATGAATCGTGTTTGGTGGCCAAGGAGGGGAAGCAGTCCTTGAGTCAGAGTGATTGGAAGGGAATACTAATGTTCCAGTAAATTCCATATGAGATCTGGTAGGTATGGATGAAACAATCTATTCTAATGCCTTTAGTTGAACCAGTGGGATTATTTTTAGAAGTTCTTCAAAAAGATACATGCAAATTAAAATCTGAAGATTTGTTGTAAGCTTATTAAAAATAAGGTTTGTGTTGCTACATAGTATATGTATGATGAACTCTCCAGTCCATTGAAGTGTTTTAAGCAAGTGAGAGTAAATTTCTGACTCCCAAACGGATTCGCAAAGATATGCAGCAAGTATTATTCATATAAGGGGTGGAGTTCAACCTAAATAGCTTGAAGGTATTAACTGGAACAACAGTTCTCCTTACCTGTTGGAAACTGGAGAAGCCATGTTAAATGTAATTCAGTACTCACTAGGGGGTGGTGTGAACACAGGGATACAAATATAAGGAAGATTCCTACAACAATTTTTCATTTAAAAAAAAAAAAAAAAGCTGGAAGGAAGCAGAATTGTCCTGCCCAAGAGGTCAACTGCTTTGAAAGTAAGCATTTAAAATAGATGTTGAGGATATGAAGTTGTGATATATTGGTTCTACTGTTTGTTTTTAATTGAATGGAAACTTAATTTCAGTCAGGACCACACAACTTTCAAGCATGTTGATTACTTCAAAGCTGTATAGTAATCTTATTCAAATTTAAGTTGCTCTTCAGAATCTTTCTTACCTTAATTCTAAGCAATCAACAGCCTGAATAAATACCTGCACAAACAGGTTTTGCAGAGTTTTGATGTTTTAAAAATACGTGTTTTGAAGTACATGTGATTCCTGAAGCATAATTTGGTTTTGGAATTGAAGGTTCCCTCCTCAATATTGTAATATTTGAAGTGTTTTCATTACAGGTTCACTCAATACAGTAGCAAATGGTTTAAAATAGGCTGTGTAATTGCCTGGTACTATGGTGCTCCATTATGTTAATTTAAGATTGACAGCAAAAAGTATTTACCTGGTGATTCAGCCAAACAATAGACTTTCCTTGTTATATGAGTAGGTTATAGCCACTTACTGAGAAGTTCTGCTCTTGCAGTGGAAGGCATCAAGCATTAAAAATAGCGGAGGGGGAAGGAAATGTTTGAATGATTGAAATTAATTGGTCAAATCAGGTCATCCATCTTTGCACTGTTCTGCAACATTTTCTATGTGGCTGTGCTATCATTCAACTTCAAAAATAGTGGACAACCAAGGAGTGTTGTCAGAACTGTTCTTCTACAGTCTGGAGGGAGAAGTGGCTCCTCATGCAAGTTTCTATTCTGCCACCATTTTGCCTTTGTATGCTACTGTCTAAGCAATGCATAGCAGATGTTCTGTAATTCAGAAGTTAAATGCACGTATCATGCTGTGGAGAGACTCCAGGTTAATCCCCTTTCCTGTGGGAGGTAAAACAATTAAGTGGGAAGCAATGATGAGCAGGAATCTTCACTTCTTTCCCTACTGTGTGCTGAAGGTATCCTTCTATTTCCTGCTGATCTCAGCACATCCCATCATCTATAAGTGATAGTTCTTTGTCACAGTTAGCTCCTTTTGGACATCAGCCTGGTCTTAATATTAGAATATCAATTTCTAAAAATGCAGATTTCAAAGACTGCTTTTATGTTTTCTATCTATTTAATGAGCAGTCTGGAGCCTAAGTTAGACAACAGGGTTTTTGTAGAAGATTTTTAGATCTAATTGTAGATTAATGTGCATGGGAAGACTTTTATTAACTCCACCACATTCATGGATAGGACTTGTTTGAATTTTTCTATTTTTAGAACATAAGGAATTTTCTCAAATCATGGAGGGATTTTTCTTGTGATCGCAGGGACTCAATCCTATTGCTTGACTAGTGAGTTAAAATGAGTTCTTCCTCTGATATATGTTAAAAATTACACAGAAGCCTTAGGGGGTGACTTAAATTAAGCTGGCTCAAGTAGCCCAACTTGTTAGTGAGGTTCCACCTCCAGGCTCACTGAGATGTGATGTCTTATAAGGCAGTTCTTATCTGAGGGAGTGTAGTCTAGAAAGCATAAAAGAAAGCTATAGCATGTCAAATTCAGCTTCCCACGTAAATCTTAGGAGAAGGGTGTCGTGAGGTCAGCTAAGGACAACAACCATACCACAAATGAAAGATGATAAAATTTGGCTTTAGCTGAACAGAGAAGTTGTCTTGGGAACAATGTGGGAACAAAGTAATAAGATACACAGTTCAACCAGTTGTATTCAAGAATCAGAAGAAATTAACTTGCACTTATTTGTGGTTTGTTCTACAAATTTCACTTTTTAGTCTCTAGTTTTTGTACATGGAAGAAATAGAACATGGTCCTGTAGCATCTGCTGGCGTTTGATTCATAAGATAAGTTTGAACGTCTAGTTCAAAATGTTTTCTGCTCATGTGTCTGTATTTGACAAGAACCACAAAGTGAGCTTTGTGGTAGTTCTTTTGCTCCAGTTGTGAATGTGAACACAAGTTTCCAATATGGATGTGAATATTTTTGTTCAGTGATAATGCAGTGTTCATTTATTCATTCAAAACATCATGGCAATAAACCTAAATCATGTTTGTGAATGCATTGGTTGCAATGCTTCTAATAGATAGAAAGAAAGATAGAAAGATAGAAAAGATAGAAAGCTTTGACAGGTCAAAATCAGAACTAGACATTCTCTAGTATTCTAATGTATTTTGTTTTTCTTCTCTTTGAAGAGATGAAATGGAAATGTAGTCCTAAATCGTATGTTGGTAATTTGTTAACTCTACAGTGTTCTGTCTTTAAAAACCTGGGCAATGATGACAAAACACCTGTGGAATTCTATCCATCTGGAATTCAATAAGCTTTTTCCTGATTTATCTTGGCTCTCTATAAAATGCTGTGGTTAACGAAACAGCTGCAAAAGCGTCTAAAAAGCATCCTGTGCACTAGGAAACTATTGTGTTGTGGGTTTTTATTTTTTTTTGGCCAATGCTGCAAATAATGATGGGGAAAAACCTCTCTCGTCTTTGTCAGTTGCTGCTACTCATTCATAGAGCTCCTGTGTAAGTAGTGAATTGAGGCAGAAGTATATTCAAAGCATCTGTGACTTATCACACTAGATGACATATGCTCAGCAAAAGAAAAGTGCTAGTGCAGCGCTTTGTTACAGATAATGGTTCATAATTGTATTCCTTGGGTTCAAATCCTGCTTGATATGTAATGAACTGGCCAGACTGGAAATACCTGTGTTAAGAGAAATATGCTTCACTGCCTTTCCTGATGATCTGATTTAATAGTTCTGAGTTACTACCCTGCTACCACTTCATGTCAATTCTTACTAGCCTGTTTACTGAGCCAGACATCATTTGTGTTGATTTGATAACGGGTTTCAATCACTGATAATAAAACTTCTGCAGCAAATGACCTCAGATCTGTATCTTCTGCACAGCATTGGCAGTTAGTAGAAAATTGGGTCTGACTTTTCTAATCTTTTCTGTTTGCTTTAATAACCAACTTAAAAAAAAAAAAAAAAAAATCATAATGAAAGTAGCTTAGTATGGTTAAATTTCAAGGGGGAAAAGGTTGATTTCAAAATGATGGTAGCTCTTACACTGTTTGTTTCTCATATTGTTTGATGGATCCTGTTGCAGGGCAGAAACAAGATGAAGCCTTTTTTAAAGGAGAATACGGAGGGCTACTGTAAAACCTGGGTGCTGTCTGAACTCTTAAGTATTTAACTGATCAGATCTGGTTATTGAAGAAAAGTTTATTGAAGGTCATGCTCCTGGATTTTACGGTATTAACAACTAAAAATGTGACAAGATTCTGAGAAGTTGCTTCATACACAACTTTTTTTTTTTTTTGAGGAGTATATTTTTGTCTAGCACTCAACTCTGTAGCATTTGTTTAAACCAATACTGAAGCACTGTGCTAATGCATAAACCTGAGAAAGCTTTGTGAAATTGAGTTGCTCAGATTTGAATTGCTAAAAACTAAACATCTAGCCTTGAGTATAAAGTAAATAAAAATCTGTCCCTGCCCATTCTTCCCTGTTATTAAGAGGTGTGAATGTTTGTTAGTTGCATTTCCTATTTGCTTTAGAGAAAATAATTTTAGGTCAACAGAATTTCTTGGCTACAGGCGGTATTTTATTTATTGCATGGCTTATCTGTGTATGTTTTGAATATTTTTAGAGAAGACTCCACAATGTCTCTGGGCAGCCTGTTCCAGTGCTCTGTCCCCCACACAGTGAAGTTCTTTTGCATGCTTGTATGAAACTTCCTGTATTGCAGTTTTCTCCTGTTGCCCCTTGTTCTGCTGCTGCAAGCCACTGGAAAGAGCTTGGCCTCATCCATTTGACACCTACATTT